ATATTATCTAGTTGACCTAGGGTGACCACATATGTTGCAAATGAGATAATGCACGCCATTGTTATCCAGAATATTCCCAAGAATTTACACCAATAATTGCTATTATAATCACTGATTTCTAAATAAATATAACTAAATTCCCTAACAATTCTACCTATTAAAATATGTCCATAGGAATAACATGGGTCTAAGCTTTTAATACGTTCAATACCAGCATTTAATGATTTAATCTTGGTCCTTAAATAATACGTGAGAATAAAGTAGTAGATAATTTGATAGATAAGTATATTGTATACGTAATGACCCCACAGAGAAAATACCAGGGCATTAGGTATAGCATATAAAATAAATTGCACCCAGGTGACATGAGATACACAACTCGTTAGCCATAGAGTAGCCGTCACTACAAACACTATTTTACTGCCAATTCTACCAATAGTCAGGGATTTACGACAAATTTTTGTCAACTTTAGCGCCACCTTTCGGTCGTGAATACCGACCCCTTTTGGGGTAATTAAACCGGAAATCATTTGAAATACGTGTAAATACGTTGGCTTTGTACCATGGTAATAATTTGAGTAATGCAAAACTTGTGATACGATGCATAATATATTGATTAAGACGCATATTGATTTTATTAGCATACCGGTGCCCATAAAATACTCCAGTTCCCCGTAGTATAGGTGATGTATTTGGGTTTAGTATAAGTAGTGTTAAGTCTCTTACGAGTTGTTGTAATGATATCATGAATACTAGGTTTGGATTATAAATCCATTTCCGGTGAAAAATGTAATCCGGTTTAAATAGGGTTAGCCCTACCCGGTAGAGGTGATTATCCGCGTTGTTCACAACCATGTTTTGTGGCAATATTTTACCAGGATCAAAATCCATATTACAGTTTAGGTAGTGTTTCAGTATATTGTTAATTAATTTATAACTAAATATAAATGCTACCACTTAGTAAAGTCTGCTAGTTTATTTGTTAAGTCCATAGCGTTAATGAAGTTTATTATCTGTCATACAGTATATAAGTAATATTAGTGTTAACATTAGTACTATATATCGGTATATTAATAACTTAGTATAAATGTAGTAATTATTATTTTTTAATTATGGTCAAAACAATTATGCGCAAACTAATTAGAAAATATCCTATCAAATAATAATTAAAAGTACTAAGTAATTAATTATTTTATTTGTTACTAACATTTACAGGGTATTTCTAATAAGATTAAATGTCAAATATATATTAATTATTAATTGTACTAACTTTGGTGCATGTAACAGGTATAATATATTAATAGATTAATTATTAAACTGTTGCTGACCAATTGTATGAAAAATAATTAACAATACTCAATAAATTAAATTTATAAAATATTGCATTACCTAAATACTTAATATTTATTTAATAATTATTGTTAAAAGTAAAGTGGCGCAATATTTATAAGCATATATGCGTAAATATAACGGATGATACCTGACATATAGGGTTATCTTTCGCTTCTTGCAAGCATTTTTTTCTTACGACTAAATATCAAAATCTTTAGTGTATAAAGTCTATGAGTTTAAGTTAAAAAGATATTAATATTTAGTTGTAAGCAAAAAAAGCTTAAAAGATGCAAAAGAAGTCAGGTTTCATCCGATATATTGACTCAGATATATCAACCGTCATAACACATAACAAATCATTATGAATAATTAAATCAAATAAAAACTCCCAACGTTCATTGTAAATTAATGTTTAACAATAATTATTTATTGCACCAAGTTATATATTATTCTAACTTTGGTAAAACAGTTTCGAAACCCACTTCGAACCAGCATTCATTAGTGCCACGTATAATCTTAAAATAACCTTGCTCGCCCCACGTGGTGCCCCACGAGTTGGCCACCAACCAGTAGTCCACACCATTATCCACACCCCAACCAATCAGTTTCACGGCGTGACACCTTTATAGTCTCCGGTCACGTGCTGATAGACACCCGATTTATATGTGAATAAGTCGTCGTAGACCTTGGTAAATAGTTATTTGAAAAATAATCACATTTGACGGTTGTAGCTTAATTAGTATTTACGGTAAATTAGTCATAATAGTTAAACTTTTGATATTTTAACTAAAAGTATTATATTTAGTTAGGTATAATGAAATGTAAATGATAAATAAATCTGCTAGTTTATTTACCACTGAAGTTTGCTTACATATTCTTACATGTTCATTTCTGTCAAACAATATAACAGTCATATGTAAGCAGAGTTCAAAGGTTTCTTTCGTATAAAACGTGCAGATATTAATTTATTATTTATTATTATTTTATAATAAAATGCGCTTACATTGAATTTAGCTGACACAGGTCCATTTGTCATGAGCTCCTTTTGTACGCTTTCCACTTTCAGGCCATAGGCTTTACTACCAAAATGCTTGTCCTGAGTGTACGTACGGTTATAGCCGGCAATACACGATCGCTCGCATTTAGGGGTCGGTAGGTCCTTAGGGCACGGGCTGGTGTGGGCAATAGTGTAGGGCTGACACCCTTTATGGCTGCCTAACAGCCCACCGGTAACGACACCACTATCGATGTAGTAGTCAAACACCCTATTTGGGAAACCACCCTGGCACGTACCGGCCCCACTACAGGTGAGCGCATCTTCCGCAGAGACCTCTACCTGTTGTTTGCCCTTTGATGCGATACATATGCGATCGGATATTACTTCCGATGCCGCGAATGCCCAACACCCACCTGGTCAATTAAATAACAATTTTTTTAAATTAATAAAATTATATCATTACCAAATGTTCATAATAATTAATATAATTTTTAAAAAAAATATCACACAATATACGAGCATATTATGTTAATTTAAATTTGACCCCGTAAAAACCCGATAAAATTTCACAGTAGCCTTATCAAAGCATTAACATTTATGGGTTAGATTAACACGGCCCGTAGATTAACATTTATGGGCTACAGAGCCCAGTTACTGTTACCAACAACATTAGTAATTGCTGTGGATCAATAATTTTGTTAATGTATTTTGTACATTGTTCCAGGTATCTAAAATTTACACTGTACAATTTTATTACCTCTATAATTAAGTTTACATTAAAATTACCGTAAGTCAGATTTTTAATTGCAACAAATTATTTCGCATAAGTGCAATTTAAAAGTCTATAATTATTGTATTTATAACTATTGTATTATTTCTTAATAAACACCGACCACAACATCCTTGATCTCTAATCTCCTTAACGGTATAACAGTCGGGCCATTGCACCCGGCAATCAAACGACTCCGGTATGTCCTCATCGGCAATATCATACGTAATGTCTGAGCTTGGTGGTAGTGGCTTATAACCAGGTACTAGACCCAGTGCAGGTTCGAAACCTTTTTCAAAGTTTTTGCCAGCCTATGAACAATTACATTAAATCGACATTCTCATTTCATATATAATTTTAAAATACTAACCTTCCATGTCGTTCCCAAACTATTTATGTAGTCAATTTGGCTACCGTGAGCCAGGTATATTGATAGAAGAAAACTTAATAATATTTGAGCAATCATCATATTTATATTGTTATAGTTAAAATATTTTTAAAATGTCACCCAGTTTATATAGTAAAATAATCTATCTAGTTTAATCATCACTCAGTTGGTAGTATAAAAACATGACTTTATATTGGAATTTAACAATTATGGTGAAACAATTATCCTGATACAAGTAGCCTTATACTTTACAATAATGTCACAATTGCACTCAAATATTGATAATAAAAATATCAATGTCAATGTAAAATTTAATATACTTTCAGGGCTCTAGGATAGCCGGCGTTTTCTTTACTACAACACATGATCATCAGATTAGTCTTAATCTTGTGATTTTACATTTTTGAACATGTAAATTCAAAAAATATATTTTAATAAAATTTTTAATATTTGGCAATATTTTATCATCAAATATTGTATAAAGTACTCAATAAATAATTTCGTATCAAAGTATTTTTGAATTATAAATTTAGATAATAAATCAAGAGTATTCTACTAATCTGTAAAATTTAGTCATTTCTAAGTATTATTCTTGTCTAAATTATTAAATTCTTAGAAAAGACTTAAAATAATTATTTTTCTTATATAACTACGGTATTTAATATATTATTTTTCTATTATAACCCCCCAAGAAAGTTCAACGTACCAATTAAAATGTAAAATTCAACAAATTTAATATTCTTTTTGTTAATTTTATCCATAATGTATTGTTACATTTTAAAATGATTATAAAGATTAAAATCAGAATTTAATAAAAAAAACAGGTCTTATCGTTTTTGTTTGATACTTATTGGGTATTTTATACAATAATTGGAGATAAAATAGTGCTATATATTTAAATTTTTATTAAAACATATTTTTTGACTTTACATGCCAAAAATGTAAAATCACAAGATTAAGACTAATCTGATGATCGTGTGTTGTAGTAAAGAAAACGCCGGCTATCCTAGAGCTCTGTATACTTTATAATGATTAAACAGTAAGTTAATAAAGTGGCATGTACTTAATATGCTTTTATCAATAACTCGTTTATCTTAATGGCAACTGCACGGGTAAGTGTCTGTTTTAGTATATGTCGTAGTACATAACAAAAATAACAAGTATAATTTATTATAAAACAATTATTTGAATTAAAATTTTATTTTACAACTTGTTCTAAATTAGAATGTAACTTTTAACTATGCTTTAAAATTTAATTTAATTTTTTAAATAGCCTTATATATTAATATTATGATATACGGTAGACCATCAATTAATTTCTTATAAAAATTTGGAATAATAAATATATGAACTAATGAACAGTTTTGTGCATTAGATTTATAATTACAAAAGTACCATAAAAACACAAATTAAAATATTTATTTTTTATGTTAGCAAAATACAAATGATGTAAGAAGTTGTTTATTCCAACCTTGGTGTTATAAGAAACATAGCTACACTAAAAACCCCATTCGTTATGTCCACGTCTAATTTCAAAATAACCTTGCTCGCCAAACGCTATACACCACGAGTTAGCCACCAGCCGGTAGTCGACAACATTACTGTACTTTTTAAATTGAAATATATTTATTGTGATGTTTGTGGTCCTAAAACCACAATATGTATTATAAGTGCATACAATATAAAGTTTAGTCAAAAGTATAAAAGTTGTGAATTCAATATTTTAAGGTTAAATATGAATATAAAAAACAAAAGTTAATCGCTAATTAAGTATTGGATTACAATAATTTTGAAAATAATTATAGTATGTGTATAGTATATGCGCATACATTATAATCCGAAGTTTTGTCACTCATAGTGTGGTCCCGATTGGCTCGAGTGTGTATCAGAAATACAAGCGATGGTCGGCCATATCAGATCCCTGTCCACATTCGCACTAATATTAATATAATGGAAGTTTGACTCACTATATAAAAACATTTTAAAGTAAAATTTAAAACTTACAAAACATTTTGTAAAAGTAAATATATTTATTGTTAATATAAAAGTGTTTTGTAAAACATTTTGAAAAATTAAGTGAACATTAAATGTCATACAATTGTGTTATTAAAGGTTTGTAACCTTAATAAAAATAAAACTATTATCATCAATATTTAAATAAAAATATCAACAATGTAATTAATAATTGTTGATTATTAAAAATAATACACTTTAAAAAATAATATTATTAAAACTTTAATTGTAATCAGAATAAAACATATAACACATCTGATTAGATGCAACAAGGTCGCTCACAAATAGTGTTAGCGAGCCAATCGC